ACCACTTCACTAAATCGCCACACTCTCCAAATCACACCTTATACTAAAACCTCAAGCTAATATCTTTTAAATTCACTTAAAAATAAACCAACTTTCAACAAACTTTTCTTCTTACATCTAAAATTTACTTAATAAAAACCAACTATATCTTTATACTTTACTAAGTAAACTTTACTTAACACTCTAAGTAAATTCAATTTCAAGACTAAAATACATACAATATCTAAATTTCAAATTGGTATCTTCTGTACTTACTAAGAAAATTAACAAAATGTCTTATATAACTAAAACTTACTTTTAACTATATTTAACAAAAACTATACTATAACTCAAAAATCAACTAAGACAACCATCTTTAGTGTTCTAAGCAAACCTATTCTTTACACCAAATCACATATATTCTAAAAATCTTAAACTATAACCTTCTTTAAAAAATGTCTCAATGTAGGTTTCCTCACTATTCATCTAAATATAACCTAACTAGCTTAAATACTTTTGACTGGTTTAATACTTTTCCAATTGATATCAAAGCAAAAAAACAAACTCAATTTTCAATACCTCTTGGTACTCAAATTCTTGACTTTATTAAACCATTTTTTTTAAATTTCTATTCTGGTCGAATTATTCAACCTAAGCTCCCAACCAACAAGCCACTAAAAGTAATTTTGACGATTTATTATAACATATAGCTTTTTAACAACCACAATTCCTTACTAATTTTATCTACCAAAACAAAATTAATGATAACAATATCAATATATCATCTAATTATCTTCTATTTATTTTAAAAGATATTTTATCCAACTTTACTACTGCTTTTTTTACTAAACTTAATTATAAAAAAATATTTTATTCAAATTATTTTTTATCTCTCTATTCTATTTCTAAACATTTTCAAATCGCAATTAATCTTGCTTATCTACACCTTTTTCTTTTAAATCAATACAAAACTATTAACTATATCTGTCACCTGATTTGTCACAAATTTTACATATAGAGGTTTTTATATATATAAAATTATAAAAAAAATATATAGAATTATTTATAAACTTTGAAGCCGAGATGTTTCTTCCTTTACATATTATCTTTAAATTAAATTTTATGAATAAATACAGCAAGAAGAGGAGAATAAAATGCTTTCAAAGCTAAATTAAAATTTTGTAATTTTTGTACAATTTAAAAATATAACTCTGTCAAAAGAAAAAATTTAATAGTTTTAAAGCAATAATTATATGTAAAATTATATTTTGAACAACTCCAATTAGGAAGTCAAAAAAGGTTATCTTAATAAAAAAAGTTTTCTATATACTAATGTCAAAATTTTCAGTTTTTCTATGTAAAACTTTTTTTTCTGCTTAGATAACCTGTTTTGACCTCTTAAGCAAATTTGTTCAACACATAATTCTATATATTTTGTATTTTGCCGATTTTGTTTTTTTTGAATATTTTACTAAGTAAAAGATTGGATCAAAGGTTATACAAAAATGTTTTTTTAAAAAAAAAATTTAATTGGTGATTCGCCAGTCACCTGGTGCATGATTATAGTATAACGTGACACAAATCACTATGTAAAATCACATATACTTCAAATGTAGTATTTGCCAAAGGAAAACTTTTTTTTACTAAGTTAATCGATCTTCTCGATTAAGTGAAAATTGTAGAGCTCGTCGAGGCGCATCTAACAGCGGTAAGAACATTAAAACCGGTCTAGTAGTTGCCGAGATATCGCCAAAAAACGATTGGCTGACTATGTAAAATTCTATGTAAATAAACTATTGTTTACATAAAAATTTTACATAGTCAGCCAATCGTTTTTTAGCGATATCTCGGCGATTACTGGACCGATTTTGATGTTCTTACTGCCGTTAGATACGTCTCGACGAGCTCTACAATTTTCACTTAATCAAGAAAATCAATTAACTTAGTAAGAAAAAAAGTTTTCTTTTGGCAAATACTACATTCAGAGTATATGTGATTTATATAGTGATCTGTGTTACGTTATACTATTAAAAAAACTTTTTTGTGTCATCTTTGATTCAATCTTTCACTTAGTAAAATATTCAAAAAACAAAATTGGCAAGATACAAAATATGTAGAATTGTGTGCTGAACAAATTTGCTTAAGAGGTCAGAACAGATTATCTAAACAGAAAAAAAAGTTTTATATAAAAAACTGAAAATTTTGACATTAGTACATAGAAAACTTTTTTTTTTACTAAGATAACCTTTTTGTATACTTAAGCAGAAGTTGTTCAGAATATAATTTTACATATAATTCTTATTTTAAACTTGCTAAATTTTTTTTTTGTCAAAGTTATATTTTTAAATTATAGCAAAATTGCAAAATTTTAATTCAGCTTAAACTACATTTTTTTTGCCTTTTCTTGATGTATTTATTCATAAAATTTAATTTAAAGTTAATATGTAAATGAAGAAACCATCAGGTTTCAAAGTTTATATATAATTTTAGGGTTTTAAAATTTGGTGCACTCGCACCGCGATGCACCCCTAGTCACGTAATACAAATTGCGTAGTAATATAAATTAATTTATCTTTTAATTAAGTAAAAATAAGTAAAAAAAAAGTTATTACATATCCAAAACCATTGCACACAACAAATATTTTGAATCATCACGCAACATCTTAAAATGACCACTAAATACCTAATCTAACCAACCAACTAACCCTAACCATCTAATGCTGCCCCTGACCCTAACCCAAACAGTACTAAAATAAATCGCCAATAAGAACATAAGGCCGTTCAAAGTTGATTAGTTGTTTAACATCAACATTTTAAGCTCAAGCTCGGGGAGAGGGAAAATTTAAACAAACACATATACGACAGAATATTTGATCAAATCTCATTGGTCAACCTTAATTACATGATTATTAAAGATTATCCTGCATTGTGATTTGCTTGTTGAATTTCCGGAAGAACAGCTAACCAAGAGTGGGGATGACGTTAAATAATTATTCAACTTTGAACGGCATAATCAAACCACCCACAACATCCAATATCAAGGCTAATAGCATCTCCAACAACGACGAAATAGTATTCGCAAAGGCAATATGAATAACGACAGCATAAAACTGATACTAACAATGGTTACGAAAGAGAAGTGGGGAGGTTAGTTATGTGACAACAAAGGAAAAAACACCCGAAAAAAAACACGTGCAAATCGAACGACGAAAGCCATTCAAAGACAACACAAATAATGCAACACTCGCTCCTAATAGAGGTACTAAGACAAATAGCTGTTGAAAAAAAGTGAGAAGTTAGTTATACGGCAATGAGAAAAAGTACCAAAGAAAACACAAGTGATACCAGAAGCAAAATAAACGACAAAAGGCAACACAAATAACATGATATTCACCAATGATGGAGGCACCAAGACAAACAGCATGAAACGATGACTGTGGAAAAAAAGTAGAGAAGTTAGTTATGTGGCAACAAAAAAAAAAGTGGCAAAGAAAAAACACAAGCGACGCCAGAAACAAATCGAACGACAAAATCACTCAAAGGCAATACAAATAACGCGACAGCAACCTATCAAAACAAACAGCATGAAGTGATGACTATGGAAAGAAAAG